TCATTCAGAGGAGAAACCAGAAGGACGAATTACTCCTGATCATTTAGATAGGCAAAAATCTTCACGGGAAACCTAAAGAAAGCAGTTCTTGAGTTGTTAACTCCATCATCATCATCATCATCATCATCACCACCAATTTTGATAGTGACTCGTGTCTAGCGTTAAAACTAGTGGTAGTCCGAGTACTAGCCAAGGTCCAGGAGCACCTACAGCTCCCCCTCCGACCCAGATGACGGAGAAAGCTGGCAAAGTTGAAGCTGAAGCAGTGCTACAAGGTGTGCATCTTCCATCCTCGAATATTTTTGATCCAGGCTTTCTTGAAAGACCTCCTGATGCACCAGTAGCTGTACCGGAAAAAGTGGAGCATCATGAGCAGAATGAAAAACACGCGGAGATGAAGATGCAGAAAGAAGAAGAGCAAGCTGGTCCCGTCAGAGAAGAAGAGGCGCCCTTGCTGCCAAACGTACTAAGCTTAAACAATGAAGCTCCTCCTGAGGTCGCTCGTGATGCTGTCGCTGCAGAAGCGGCTGGTGTGGTGCCGGATATTAAAGGGGAAGAACCTCTACCAGTAGAGCAGGGTGTAGTAGGACGCCGCATCGGTATCGGCTCTACGGTCACATTTCGACACCGCCGAGCCTTGCGTGTGGAGGCCTACTGCGGGAACGGTGCCAGCGCCGATGTCTACCGCTGTATAGACTTGGCCTCAGATGAGGCATTTGCGCTAAAAGTTGTCTTCGCTAGGGATCAACGCAATCTCCATTTATTACAAGCGGAAATCGAGGCCCTTCGCCGTTTGAAGGACTGTCCCCACGTCGTGCAGATTTACGAGGATGAGGCCTTCGAAACGGAGCTTGCGATTCATATCCTGTTAGAATTCGCGCCGTATGACCTGCGAGCGTTTTTGAAATCAGAAGAAGGACAGAATCTGTCACTTGTAGCGATTCAAATACTGTGGATGGATCTAGTGCATGGCGTTGCGGCCATTCACGAAGCAGGACTGGTGCACTTTGACTTGAAGCCTGCGAATTGTCTGGTCGTGGATGGTCGAGTGAAGCTGTCGGATTTCGGTCTGGCGAGAACACTGGATGCTACCAAAACGCACGTTTCGCGACACGGACAGTGCGGAACGCCGCGTTACATGGCTCCAGAAGCGTTCTGGCAACCGGAGGAGGGAGTAGGCTCTATGAAAATGAGACCGCAAGCTGACATTTGGTCTTTGGGCATCATTCTGTATGAACTGCTGTACGGACGAAGTCCTTACAGACATTTCGAGGGCTGTGGACATCGCTTACAGTTTGCGATAGCCGACTCTCGGGTGCAAATACGTTATCTCCATCATCGTAAATACGAAGCAGAAAACGCACAACTATTTTTTCATTTGGTCGCTTTGACTCAGCACTGTTTGCAGCGTAAGTGGCAAAACCGATGGTCCGCAGCACAAATCTTGAATCATGAAACTTCTCATAGTGAGAGTAACAAGCCTTTTTCTTGTTCTAAACCAAAAAGGCCAAGTCCAAGCAACAAAAGAGCCGCTCATTTGACACCTGTTTTGAAGTTGGTTTCGCAAGCAGGACATGCGCAGTGGGCAGGACCGCAGGAGACCATGCCTGAGGAGCTAAAGCCTGAAGTTGACGAAGAGCGTAGTCAATTTAGTCAAGTCGTAGTTCCAGGTGACGAGGCTGCAGACGTGGCACGAGAGCCAGAGAAGCATATTAATGCCAATCAGATCATCACAGAGCGCGGGGACGGAGTCGTTCACAAACCAGCTGCAACAGATAAAGTTCCTGTTCCTGATCTTCCTGCCGTGAAACCTATGGGACCACCTGAAGCTCAAGCTCCTCGTATTTGTGGTTTATCCAGAGTTGTTTTCTTTGTCTTGGTCTCCACTATAGCTGGCCTGGCAATAGGAGGCACGGTTGTTGGTGTAATCTTCTCTCAGAGAGCGAACCGAGACCAGCGGACATCGTTCTCTGCCTCCAATATGGCTTCTAGCACTAGTGGAGGTTCTAGTAATGGTTCGAGTACTGGAAGAATGTC